TTTATATTATTTTTGCTTCCTTTCCCCTATGTTCATCTGTTTTGTTTCTTAAATTCCACATATGAGTGAAATCATATGATATTTGTCTTTCTCTGATTAACTTATTTCGCTTGGCATAATACACTCTAGTTCTGGCCACGTTGTTGCAAATGGCAAGATTTCATTCTTTTTGATTGCCAAGTAATACTCCATTGTGTACATATACCACATCTTCTTTATCCATTTATCAGTTGACGGACATCTGGGTTCTTTCCAAACTTTGGCTATTGTTGATAGGGCTACTAAAAAGATTGGGGTGCATGTACCCCTTTGAATCAGCATTTTTTTTTTAGCCTTTGGATAAATACCTAGTAGTGTAATTGCAATTTTTTGAGGAACCTCCATACTGTTTTCCAGAGTGGCTGCAACAATTTGCATGCCCACCAAGAGTGCAAAAGTGTTCCTCTTTCTCCGAATCCTCGCCAACATCTGTTATTGCCTGAGTTGTTAATTTTAGCCATTCTGACAGGTGTGAGGGGTATCTCACTGTGGTTTTGATTTGTATTTCCCCGATGATGAGTGATGTTGAGCATCTTTTTGTGTGTCTGTTAGCCATCTGGATGTCTTCTTTGGAAAAGTGTCTTTTCATATATTTTGCCCATTTCTTCACTGGATTATTTGTTTTTTGGGTGTTGAGTTTGATAAGTTCTTTATAGATTTTGTATCCTACCCCTTTATCTTATGGGTCATTTGCAAATATCTTCTCCCATTTCGTTGGTTGTCTTTTAGTTTTGCTGATTATTTCCCTCACTGTTCAGAAGCTTTTTATCTTGATGAGGTCCCAAAGGTTCATTTTCGCTTTTGTTTCCCTTCCCTCTAGAGACGTGTCAAGTAAGAAGTTGCTGCAGCCGAGGTCAAAGAGGTTGTTTCCTGTTTTCTTCTCTGGGATTTTGATGGCTTCCTGTCTGACATTTAGGTCTTTCATCCATTTTGAGTTTATTTTTTTATATGGTGTAAGAAAATGGTCCAGGTTCATTCTAAATGGTTGTTTTGTTTTGTTTTGTTTTGTTTTTTGAGAGACAAAGAGAGACAGAGAGAGAGAGAGAGAGAACATGAGCAGGTGAGGGGCAGAGAGAGGAGACAGTGGATCTGAAGCAGGTCCTGCACTGACAGCAGAGAGCCCAACATGGGGCTCGAACTCATGAAGTGTGAGATCATGACCTGAGTCGAAGTCGGATGCTTAACCGACAGACACCCAGGCGCCCCAAGAAATACTTTTGAACTGATAGTGTTTTACTACTGATAATCAGTGTTAAACTGATAATATTTTAAACTGGTTGGTGATAATGGTATTTAAGAAGGTTTTTTGTAATTCCAAGATTGTAAAGCTGTTTATCATTTAAGACACTCAAATGCTTTATAGTTTTTAATCACTGTTGAGCTTACACCTTCGTGACTCTCATAAGCCTGGCTGAGGTCTGATTAAAGATTTCTTTTTTTTCATTTCTTTGACATTTACACATTACTGTATTGTTTACCAAAATCCATCCAAGGCTTTCAATTCTTACTCTCTAGGAAAATACTGTATTATATAATATAATATATTCAAGTTTGGACTATACGTTATTTTGCCTTTGTATATGGGGTAAGAAGTTGACTTTGAGCATAGAGTCAAGCTTGTGTGTTTTCCCCTAGTCCTCTGCTCTCCCATTAGAGGAAAGCCATCTTCCTGAGCATTAGCTTTTTTACCTATAAATTCAGTAGTTCCTAAAGTGTGTCACAATGTGTTGTTGGTATTAAGTGAATTATTATTTTTAAATAGTTTAAAGAATATGAAACAACAAAGTATATAATATTATATTTGGTCAAGGGAAATACATATATTTACATACATATGTTCTATATATAGATTATATACTTCAAGAGATCCAAGATTCTGTAAATTATTGAAGAAATGAATGATTTGGCCACAGCTTCTTCTAACAATTGGGGGAAAATATTCTTCATTTCATATAAGCATCTTTCCAGAGTGACTCTCCCATCTACCTGTGCCTGCGTTTGCCATCCTCTATTTTTCTTATTTGTCAACTCAGTCAATGTCTACCTAGGTCTTCTAAAGGCTACATTTGTTAAGTAAATATTATAAGAACCCATAAACACTGACTGCAACAGGTTTCTCCTGAATCTCCCAAGGATAAACTGAATAGATAGGTTGGCATGGCTAACACAGGACTGTCCATAAATCTGCCTGGGCTGTCAAAAGGAAGAGAAGAAGAATTGTGCAGGAAGTAAAACAGTCAATGAGACAAATTAAAGGAAATAAAGAATTCTGGTGTGGATTGAACAGACAAGCTCAAGAACAAAATGATAAAGACCTTTAATCACGTCAGAAAGTCTATAAAAGTATGTAAGTACAAGGACCAGAAAATGTTAATAATAAACCTTATCCTATTACATAAAGAGATAAAAGAACTACCAAAACTTCAGAAAGGTCATCTCTATCATATATGAGACAATCAGGGGAATTTTAGTAATAACTGAATATTTAACAATGTTAAGGAATTCTTGGGGATTTTTTTTGATGTGATAATATTATTGTGGTTATTTTTTTTTAGTCCTTATAGAAATACATACTGAAATATTTACAGATGAAAAGATATGATATTTGGTTGTGTTCCAAAATAATTCAGTGGGGGGGTATAAACAAAACAAGATTGTACATGAATTGATCATTGCTGAAGCTTATTGCTGAATACATGGAGGCTCACTTCTCTCTACCCTTGTGTATGTTCAAACCTTTCCATTTAAAAAATGTTTTAAGATTATGAAGAATATCATTTGCACACAGGAAAAGTTTCACAGATACTGCTCTTTCTCATGATTGACAATTAAGCCCTACTATTGCAAAAAACCCTCCCTTTGCAGACACTTGTTCCTCTGGAGACCCTCAATGGCATTATATTAATGCAAAGATCCCCCTGGGCTGAAGAGTGGCTCCAAGCAACTTAAGAATGGAATGAAATCATGATAGAGATGCCTATGTACAATGTGTGCCCATAAACTGTAGTACATGTTTTAGCGTTAGTGTGTACTCACTGAATGACTTCCTTTTTGAACTAGCCAGTTTTTAAATTATTAAAATAAAATCATGTCCATGGTTAAAAAGTCCAAATAGTACAGAAGACAGAGAAAGGCAGAAAGTAAAATTCTTTCTCTCAACATTCAGTCTCAGTAGATAGAAGCACCTAATCAACACTTTGAGTGTCGTTCCAGAAACGTTCAATGCGTAATTGCACGTGTGGTTGTATGGTTGTATGGGAATACAAAGAATATTAAAATAAGCACAAAAATTATTGGGCTTTTGGCTAATTTTATTATAAACAATTATTACTGAACATATAATGCATCTTTATTTTGCAGCAATACTTATATATCCACAAAGTTGTCTATTCATAGAGCTTCATCTTAGCTCTCTTGTCTCATATGATTTCCCATATCATTCTAATATAATTATTTATATTTTTATTGATCATTTGAACATGTAGCTGAACTTTTTACCTTAATTTAAAAGAAAATGGATTAACATGAAAACAAATTAATGGCTTATTTATTTTTTCTTTTTATTTTATTTTTTTTAAATTTTTTTTTCAATGTTTTTTGTTTATTTTTGGGACAGAGAGAGACAGAGCATGAACGGGGGAGGGGCAGAGAGAGAAGGAGACACAGAATCGGAAACAGGCTCCAGGCTCCGAGCCATCAGCCCAGAGCCTGATGCGGGGCTCGAACTCACGGACCGCGAGATCGTGACCTGGCTGAAGTCGGACGCTTAACCGACTGCGCCACCCAGGCGCCCCAATTGTTTCTTTTTAAAATTTTTTTTAATGTTTATTTATTTTTGAGAGAGAGAGAGACAGAGTGCGAGCAGGGGAGGGGCAGAGAAAGAAAGGGAGACACAGAATCTGAAGCAGGTTCCAGGCTCTGAGCTGTCAGCACAAACCTCAACACAGGGCTCGAACTCACAAAATGTCAGATGTTGACTGGAGCTGAAGTCAGATGCTTAACTGACTGCATTACCCAGGCGCCCCTATTGTCTCTTTTAACCTTTCAAATTGAAAATGTTTAGATGGATTTTCCTTTGGGGCTATTACAATGCTCTCATCAATGAAGTAATATAAAACTTTAGTGCATGAAAAGACAAGAACAAGATTGGTATCTTTATTTAATCTTATGTCATCTGTCTGAATTAGGAGTAAAAATGGTTATGTTATAGGTATATGCAACACTTTTTTCAAGATACATTAAATTGTAAGAGCAGCTTTTTTATATTACCTCTCTGTAATGTTTAGCCTTTTTTTAAGTTGTAAGGTTTGCAGCAATAAAAAACATTCTTTAAAAGACTTTAATGCACTCATTTTCCACACAACTATGTAATTACTGCACTTAAGATGATTCTCAATTGAACATTAACTACAAGTTCTTTTTTTTCCTGTTAATTCTTTTTTCTTTTTACTGCTTTTTTAAAGTTTATTTTTTTAGTAATCTGTACACCCAACGTGGGGCTCAAACTCGTGACCCGGAAATCAAGAGTCCAATGCTCTTCCTTCCAGGTGCCCTTCCTGTTACTTCTTTTACAATATTCCAAGATTCAGCTTAGGCTTCAGTTAGCCAAAAACAATCTTATTTTTCAATATGGCCCCCATTAATGTGAGCTCATTTTGGGTTCTTCCAATGGTTACTGATTTTTCAAACTACTGAAAAAGAAAAGGCGACTCTTACTTTGGTTACATGCAGTGCTATTCATGGGCACATGACCCGTGCAGGCACACAGATCCCAGGGTCGAAAGAGCCCCACTCTTGGTTTAATGCTCTATCACTGTGTTGAAATTCATAATAATTAATCCTTGAACGTGGCTTACATAAGCAAAGTCCAAAGGGACAAAGAAACAGGGCGTGAGCAGATAATGCAGAATGTGCACAATGTATGTGTATCTGATGTTTCTTGCCACCCCACTTTCATATAGCATTCCTGATGCTGCGTGAATACAGAACTCCAGTGGATCCAGCATGGGACTCAAAGCAAGCACAAGGCAAGCATTTTATTGAAGCTGTTGGCTTCTGCAGAGTGTTAGGAGAATGTGCATGTATCAAGAAGTGAAAGAGGGGCACCTGAGTGGCTTAGTCGGTTAAGCGTCCGACTCGTGTTCAGGTCATGATCTCATGGTTCGTGGGTTTGAGCCCCGCATTGGGCTCTGTGCTGACAGCTCAGAGCCTGGAGCCTGCTTCAATTCTGTGTCTCGCTCTCTCTCTGTCCCTCCCCGGCTCACACTCTGTCTCTCTCTCTCAATAATAAATAAACATTGAAAAAAAAAAAAGTGAAAGAAAAAAACAGGTGAGTCAGTTTTTTACAACATATCCAGGGTGGTGGTAAGAACAAAAGCATATACACATGCAGGTACAAGCTACAAAACACAAATTGTATAATTTTGGTTGTCCTGCATACAAGTTAAATGTTCTCATATAATTTGGGGGCACTTGGGTGGCTCAGCCAGTTAAGCATCCGACTCTTGATTTCAGGTCAGGTCATGATCTCACGGTTCATGAGTTCAAGTCCCACTTTGGGCTCTGCACTGACAGCACAGAGCATGCTTGGGATTCTCTCTCTCCCTCTCTCTCTCTGCCCCTCCCCCGCTCGTCTTCTCTCTCTCTCTCTCTCTCTCTCTCTCTCTCTCTCAAAATAAATAAGAATTTAAAAATTGAAGAAAAAAAAAACAAATGTTCTCAAATAATTCAATAAATATATCTGAACAAATTTAAAACTGGAATTCCAAAATAGAAAGATGAATGGTAAAAATAAATAAATAAATAAATAAAAGCCAGTAATTTAAAATGTTGTCTTCTTTACTCAGAGCGCATGAAGTAAATAAAAGAACACCATGACAAGTCAACAGAGATACTGTGGGAGAAGGGGGAAAACTTTATATTTTAGTATCTTTAATGACACTTTTTCCCCTGACTTTTGAACAAGGGGTCCCCCATTTTCATTTTGCACCAGGGCTCACAAGTTCTGGAACCAGCCCTGGTTAAGGGTTCTCTGCCTGCAGGGGAATTCTCCTGCAGGAAGCATCTGTCTTCCATTCTGAAGTCATTAGTTCACTCTGGCAGCCTGGGTCTGGCTGCAGAAAGAACATCTTTATTTTGGCAAATGGGCGACACTCGCAAACAAGTAGCAAAAGGAATAATCATGTGTCCTGAAATCTAGTATGGTAAAGTGCTTAGGCTCTTAACAGATTAGGTTTGCTTTCCTTTGTTGCCATTTACAGCTGTGAATTTTTCACACCGAAGAGCAGTTGTCAAAATAAATGTTTTTCCTTTGCCACTTCCTTACAAATGCTCAAGACTTTCAGTGCCGTCTTGCTGTGAATTTTCTTTTCTCTTACAACTACTAGAAATGACCCAAGGCTAACCCAAAACTGTGTTGTTAATTTTTGTTATGTGCTTTTCTGTCATTGTCTCTGATGAATCATCTTCAGAATATTTCAACAAATATTAATTAAGACCAAGCCTTGTGAGAGGCACTGAGCTAGGCACTTGGGAGACCAAGTTTTGAAATAGAAAGTGTCTCTGACCTCAAGGGATTTAGATGGACGAACCCTCCAGAGGAAACAAGTAAGGCCAAAGTGTGCTGGTGCGTGATCTGGTGGCTCATAGGGCAAGTCTTTTGTTTCCCACACAAACTAGTGAACTTTACCTCTGGTGGTACATAAATCACTCCCTCATAACAAGCTAAGCACATTAAGTTAACTTAGAGTACCACTGGATAAAAATATTAATATTGCCAGAAATGGCAAGAAGGGGTAAAATGAGCTCATTTGGGAGGGAAAATGCTCCTTTGAAAAAAGCTGCTATCCTTATGAGTTAAAGTTTCAGTGTCTCTGATTTGAAAATCGAAGCACAGAAATGCTGCTTTGGAGAATCTGACCTAAATGAAACTCACTAAGTCCCAAATCCGCGATTCAGAGTAACTCCACTGACAATGGTCAAAATCATTCCTCAAGTTGTGATAGGTGCTGTCACACTTCCAGAGTCCATTTATCCACAGGTCCCTGAGATCTTTTTTTTTTTTTTTTTTCAGCATTCACTCAGTCTTCTTCATTCTCAGCACCTACAATGGGAATAATAACTGGTGATGTGCTTTTAATACCAGGCTCTTGAGAGTTGGCTTGTGGTTCTGTTACAGACATGTTCCTGAACATGATTTAACATATATTTAAAGTTAGTTATTTAATGCTAGAAGGCAGAAATTCTTTGGAACTTGTTTTCATGAAATTCTTGTGGATCTGTTTACTCCTAACAGTCCCCAGTTGCCTCATACTTGTCTATTCCCCAACATCTATTCTTTCCTTCTTTTTGGCAATACTATTCCTGATCTGTAGCTGAGCCCGTGGTCACCTGGCATAAAGACATTTCCCAGCTTCTTTAGCAACTAGTAATGGCCATATGATGAAATTTTATCTAATGTGATATAAACAAGAATATGTATATAGCATCCTTCTTTCTTGTTGGCTGGAATGCAAATATGACAGCTAGGGGCTTAGCATCCACTTTGGACCAGGAGATAGAACGCTAAAGACAGACAGTAAAAAAAACAGACAGAAAGCTAGACTTTCACATGAAGAGCTAAAGCTGTAACTTGTTAAAGCCACTATTATTTTGGGTGTCTGTTACTTGCTGCTGGATCTAATCCTAACTGATACATTTTCGTAGAGATGTCTGTTTCATCTGTCTTAGATGAACTCATTCGGAATATTTATACTTTTTTTCTTCTGCCTTGAAAATTACTGCTCCTTCTGCTAAAGTTTCCTTAAGGGAAGTTATGCTCTTCACAGCTCCAGTTAATTCTAGTTTTAAAAAGGGTTTAAACAGCATAGCAGCTGCAGATATGAACGCAATGGCTACAAATACCAGTTATTGGCTTTCTGCCAATACATATTCTAATTCTGCTAAAGAATTCCACCTATTTTATATTCTAATTCTGTCTAAAGCATTCAGCTCTAAGCCCACCTCTCGTCTGCTTTCTGATCCTATCCATCCCACCTGCTTCCACAATTTGACATTTAATTAGCAAAAAAAAAAAAAAAAAATTTTAAGGGGCACCTGGATGGGCTTAGTCCGTCAAGCATCTGACTCTTGATTTCAGCTCAGGTCATGATCTCACAGGTTTGTGGGATCGAGCCCCATGTCAGGCTCTGTGCTGACAGAGTAGAGCCTGCCTGGGATTCTCTCTCCCTCTCTCTCTGCCCCTCCCCTGCTTGCACTCACTTTCTCTCTCTGTCTCTCTCTCAAAATAAATAAACACTTTTTAAAACTTTTTTTTAAGAAACAGGGCATGTGGATTCCACCTCAAGCCTGGACCAAGTCTGATAGAAGCTTTCTAAGTGGAGGTCCGGAGAGTGTTTCCTGTGGCAGCCACTGAAGCTTTTGCTGGCATGGGAGAGTCACAAGATGCCACAGTTGTAAGCCGGAAGACAAGTGGTGTGCTTCCAACCCAAAGGACAAGGTGAGGACTAGATGGCTAATAAACTAGATGGACAAACGAGCTGTAGAGTCACTAGAGGAGAAAGTCTCAGCAGGATGGACGAGTACCCGACTGGGTCTGAAAGAGCCGTGTAAGATTTAGTCCTGAGGCAGCGTAAGCAGCAGGGGATCCCTTTACCTAATTCCCTGCAGACACAAGTGAGAGATGTTCCAATGGCCTTAAAATGAAAAATAGAGCCTAGGATCATAAGGAAATTACTACAAATATGAGCTGGACATGATGACAGGTTAAGGTGATAATCATAAGGAAAAGTCCTAAGTGTGGTTAAGATGAACGAAAGTTAAGGTACATAAAGAGATAACTGCATAACGTTAAAAATTTGAAGAAATCTATGAAGGTAATTATGATTCTGTAATTGGTTTAACTCTTTAATTTGACTTTTGGGGGGTCTAGATGGAAGGAGTGCTATTAATACCAAATGATAATCACTATTTTTTTTTAATTTTTTTTTTCAACGTTTATTTATTTTTGCGACAGAGAGAGACAGAGCATGAACGGGGGAGGGGCAGAGAGAGAGGGAGACACAGAATCGGAAACAGGCTCCAGGCTCTGAGCCATCAGCCCAGAGCCCGACGCGGGGCTCGAACTCACGGACCGCGAGATCGTGACCTGGCTGAAGTCGGACGCTTAACCGACTGCGCCACCCAGGCGCCCCTATGATAATCACTATTAAGGGCTACTATCCATTTTAAGCTACTCAATTTCCTTTACAAGGAATCGTGTCAAACATCATGCAAATCCTGATGCATTCAACAAATGAAATTTTAACTGAAAGTGAAAAAATACCAAGAAAGTTGGAAATTAAATTAATAATTGAAACAAGCCATTCCCAAACAATCTCAGAATATACTGGTTTGAAAAACTGGGCACGTTAATCCCTACAAAAAGCAAGAGTCAAATATATCAGCCAGTGGCAATAAATATCCAGGATTTAGCAAGAAAACTAAAGGAATCGATTATGACTACACTCCACTGATTCAGGTAGGGTCTTTCCTTTCCTGTTCCCTTTAATGAAGTGATTTGCAGGGGTGCCTGGGTGGCTCAGTTGGTTAAATGTCTGACTTTGGCTCAGGTCATGATCTCACAGCTTGTGGGCTTGAGCCCCACATCAGGTTCTGTGCTGACAGCCTGGAGTCTGCTTTGAATTCTGTGTCTCCCTCTGTCTCTGCCCCTCCCCCACTTGTGCTCTGTCTCTCAAAAATAAATAAATGTTTGGGGCGCCTGGGTGGCTCAGTCGGTTGAGCGTCTGACTTCGGCTCAGGTCATGATCTCACGGTTCGTGAGTTTGAGCCCCGCGTCGGGCGCTGTGCTGACAGCTCTGAGCCTGGAGCCTGCTTCAGATACTGTGTCTCCCTCTCTCTCTGCCCCTTCCCCACTCATGCTCTGTCTCTGTGTCTCAAAAATGAATAAACGTTAAAAAAATTTTTTTTAATAAAAAAATAAATAAATGTTAAAAACAAATTTTTTAAAAAATAGTGAAGTGATTTGGAGAATGGTCTCTTATCCCTGAGAGCTGTTCTTTCCTCTTTTTTGTTTTCTTTACTGGAAAATGGTTCTTAGCAGTGGGCCAGGGAGCCTCATCTGTGAGGGCTACAGCTATGCCTCCTAGAAGGACGAGGATGGGGGAACTAGCCCAATCTATTGGATCTGGAGCTCTTTAGGCCGATTTGACAACTGTCCCAGAGTGTACAGAAAGAGTGAAACAAGCATCAGTTTCCGATCTGATTTCCTTCTTTGCCTCAAGGCCATATCTGGTGCCTTTGACACCAAGGCAGGCAGAGTAAGAAACTCTGAACTATTAGCAGAAAATGTATAAAACAAAGTACCTACTGAATGCCAATGGATATAAAACAGTAGATATGAATTCTGCCTTTTACTTATGATAAAGTTGGTGAAACAAGAAACAACCAGGGGTCATTACCTTTTTGTGTGTATCTTCCACTAGATTTTAAGTTCCATGACTTATAGTAGAAATTATATTCATCGTATTCACAGTTGCCCATTGATGCCCAGTCCCTGCCCACCCAATAAGTACTTGAATAAATGAATGAACATACACTATTGAAGCAACAACAAAAGGCAGCCTCTACATAATCATGTACCAAAGTGCAGGGTACATGAAGAATAAAGCAGTTAGAAAAGCAAAGGTAGGGGGCACCTGGGTGGCTCAGTCGGTTAAGCGTCCGACTTCAACTCAGGTCACATCTCGTGGTCCGTGAGTTCGAGCCCCGTGTCGGGCTCTGGGCTGATGGCTCAGAGCCAGGAGCCTGCTTCGGATTCTGTGTCTCCCTCTCTCTCTGCCCCGCCCCTCCCCCCCCCCCCCCCCCCCGTTCATGCTCTGTCTCTCTCTGTCTCAAAAATAAACGTTAAAATTTTTTTTTAAGAAAAGCAAAGGTAGCTAAGTGGACAGTCAATGGTTTGGAGGTTTAGGTTAGAGCTGAACCTTCTGACTATGTGCAGGATAAAAGATGCTCTCCCAGCTTGCCAGAGCCAGGCAGCTTTGGGACTCTGTCCTATCAAATGTATGAGGCATTCTCTTTTTTTAATTTTTTTTTAACGTTTATTTATTTTTGAGACAGAGAGCGAGCATGAACGGAGGAGGGTCAGAGAGAGGGAGACACAGAATCTGAAGCAGGCTCCAGGCTCTGAGCTGTCAGCACAGAGCCCAACGCGGGGCTCGAACTCACGGACCGCGAGATCATGACCTGAGCCAAAGTCGGCCGCTTAACCTACTGAGCCACCCAGGCGCCCCTGTATAAGGCATTCTCAAGAGAGGACATGAAACAGCGAGTATCACAACTTCAATATCAAAGGTGTCTGTCCCATATGGGACAATGGTAGTATCTTGGTAGAGGTTCCAAGAACAATCGCTTCTCTAAAGTCTAGAGACCTTCAAACAAATGACACTTAGTAATGAGACGTTCTTTGGTCACTAGACCTGGTGAAGAGACCACTGATGGAAAGATCATCTCACCTTTAACTGGTAGAGGAAGGATCCAGTTTTCTTGAGGATTCATAGCTATTGAAATAACTCCATTCATAAGGCAATCCATAAGGCATAGTACTGTAGTGCCCCAGGGGCCGTTACCACCCTGCAATAACAAGGGTATAGAGAAGTTACTGGAACCTGAAGGTTGTACACAGAGGGACGCCAGACAGGAGCGAGGACACAGCCAGCCTAATGAAACCCCTCAGGGAGGAAACCATAAATACTCTCTTCCCTCTAATCTCCTTTGCCAATACCAACAGGAAGCCGAGGGGCAAGGGGAGCCCTTTGATGCAATCTCTACAGGTCAATTCAGATGCAGACAGCAAGAGGGAGGAGGCTAGGCATGGATCTCAGGGGGCTCCAGCACAGCTGTGCTTTATCCATTCTTCATAAGTCTGCGTCTGGGCAAAGACTCATTCATTTCAAATAGAAAAAAAAAAAAAAAAAAAAAAACCCTCCTTCTAGAATTAGTCCTTAATCAGACTAATGCAGTGAACCACAAACAAATCAAATCATGGAATCAAAAGCCTAAATTACAATCCCAGTGCTGCCAATAAT